TTTTTTTTTTTTAATCCGGACATCCGGACATGTTCTTTCATAACCGGACTGTCCGGGTCCGTATGTCCGGTTGTTCGGATCGATGTCCGGTTTACCGGACGTCCGGATTAATCCAGACAGGGGTCCGGGCCTGGTGTCCGGTGTCTGGATGTCCGGGTCCGGGGCAACCATGATATATATATATATATATATATATACTTCTTTTTTTATTGTCTTGGGGCATCCTGGTTCGCTGTTTCCCGTTGTTCGGCCTACACGGGGGATGGTGCTTTTACGAGGGAATTGTCATAAAAGGGTCTTTACCCGATTCAGACCCTGTTCGGCGAATGCAGCATAGAGGGGTCACTCGCCAGGGCCCATCTTGTGAAAGCATATCAAAGGACATGTTCTCTGGGTCAAGAGTCACATCCTAGCTAAACAAAAGCCAATGTCAAAGGTCACAGTTGTGCCCCTGAACGAACAGTTGCAATATCTAGATTTGGGGATCATGTCTGTTCGTCCAGGGGGTGTGCAGGTCATGTCTGTTCAGGCAAGAGATGTGTCTGTACGTGCAGTATATGTGTCTGTTCGTGTAGAATGTATGTCTGTACGTATAGTAGGTGTGTCCTTTCAAAAGGAAGTCAAGGGATCGTGTCCCAGTCAAGATTCCAGTCCAAGGGAGAGTCCAGATTCAGGTTGGAAGTCCGAAATTGAGGTCTGAAGGCCGCAGCAGCAGTGGACTCTGAGGAAAAGGAACTGAGGCACACAGCACAGAGGCTGGGATTGGAAAAGGGACCAACAAAGACTGAATTCAGACCTCGCCAGGGGAGGCCAGCAATATAAGAAACGAGGCAGCCTCCCCACAGGGCAGATCCCCATGTGCATGGATGCGTGGAAATGCTGAGGCACTTGTGCGCTAAGGTGCAGGGAGGAAGCACTGGCTGAAGAAGAAGCTGCGCCAGAGGAAGGGAAACTGCGCAGGCCGCAGCAAGCCATAGCTGCGCCAGGCAGAGCTAGTGTTAGTAGTAGTATTAGCAGGGTTAGTGTTAGTACATCAGCGAGGGGCATTCTGAGTAGATCCTTGTAGACAGGGAGTGTGCATGTAAGAAGAGACAAGGAGAACTGGGCCAGGGATCTTGAGAGAGGAGAACAAGGGAGAGTGAAGACAGGTGGAGACATTGGTGATGGTGGAAACTTACCTGTTGGCACCACTGGGGCAGTGATCTTGAGAGAAGAGAACAAGGGAGAGTGAAGACAGGTGGAGACATTGGTGATGGTGGAAACTTACCTCTTGGCGCCATTCTTGAGATCTGGAACAAGCGCTGGCTAAGCCAGGCTCTGCATGTATGTTGGAACGAAGGAGAGACTTGTATACTTTGGGCGCTGGACTCTTGAACTTGAGAAACTCTTGTATAACGTGATTTTGGACAATATAAGCTGCGCTACTCGGTTCTTCTCTCATCTCAACTTTGAGCTTTGTGTGAAGCTACCCTATCTGTGTTTGGTGACATGTGTGCATGCGAATGAGGCACTCCAGCAAGTGTGAATCGTCGGGCCCCTTGCAGTCATCTGGGATTGTCTTTCTTTTTTTTGCAGATAAGGTGTTCTTTGTTTCAGATTCTTTGCTATTGATATGGTAGAATTTGTTCTCTGGTATTCATTTATGTTGAAAATGGGCTGGCTCATCGTTCAACCATCTCATAGTTCCCGTGTCTTGAATCCTGGCTGGTTTGTCCCATCGTTTGGCCTGTGCTGTCGGGGGCGGTGTCTGCATGTGGGACTTGTCATCTAGGACTTGCTTGCCCCCTGTTCTGTAATGTTTGGCTGTTCCCTTCCTCTTTTCTTTGCCTCTTTGCCTTTTGGATGTGTGCAAGTGGGTCGATATGACACACGGGGGTGGGGGCAGCCGCCGCTCAACCTACATTCACGTGGGCGGCCTTGTACGCAAGAGGTTTTGAACAGGGGGAGTCTTGTAAGGAAGAAGATAAAAAATGAATTTCATTTTTTTTTTCGCATTTGCGCTCTGATAATTTGTGACGATATATATATATATATATATCTATATCTATATATATGTACGCAAGAGGTTCTGAACATCGGGAGTTGTAAGGAGAAGATAAAAAACTGAATTCATTTTTTTCTGTTTTTCTTTCTTTTTTCCCTTTTTTTTTTTTTTTTCGTTTCTTTTTTTTGCATTTGCGCTCTGATATTCTTGTGACAATATATACTCCGACGTTGCTAGCTCTCTGCTTTTGTAGATGATGTGGCGAGCGTCGGGCCTGTACTAGCAGGCTTTTCTTTGGTTATGGTAAACAGTATTCTCGATTTTCTTGACAGTGCACGTAAGAATTCATTTGCGTCGAAAATAGCCTGAATCATCGTCCTATCATCCCACATTTTCTTGTGTTGCTCATTCTTCCCCGTTGCTGGGGTGTTTCGTTTTGCGGGCCTACTGTATGGTTCCGTTTTTTTGACTATGGATATGGTAGATTTGTTGTGGTAATCTTGTCTGCATCCCGATTGGTTTTGTCCTGTTATTCTTTCTAAGCAGGTAGCGGTGCTTTATGTGGGATCAGTCATCCGGGTTTTTTATTGTCTTGGCATCCTGGTTGGTTGTTTCCCATTGTTCGGCCTTTTGGAACGCGGGGCGGTGCTTGTATGTGGGAATCGTCATCCGGGATTGTCTTTTATACCGGTTCTCCGGGTTCTTTTTGATTTCTTTGCAGACAAGAATGTTTTGACATCCTGGTTGGTCTTGTCCCGTCGTTTGGCCTGTGGGCAGGGGCGGTGCTTGCATGTGGGACTTGTCATCTGGGATCTGTTTTGTTGCCCCCTGTTCTGTATTATTTGGCTGTTCCTTTCCTCTTTTCTTTGCCTCTTTGCCTTCTGGCTGTGTGCAAGTGGGTCGATATGACACAGGGGGGTGGGGGCAGCCGCCGCTCAACCTACATTGACGTGGGCGGCCTTGTACGCAAGAGGTTCTGAACAGGGGGAGTTGTAATGAAGAAGATAAAAAACTGAATTCATTTTTTCCTGTTTTTCTGTCTTTTTTTTTTTCTTTTTTTTTTCCCCATTTGCGCTTTGATATTCTTGTGACAATATATATATATATATATCTATTTGACGATATATATATGGATGTTTTGCTGGCTTGTGATGGGGTGTGAACCGACAGTCTGTAGAGTTTTCCATCTGGTGTGGGTGAGTGATAGTCTACTTTGATTTTGGTTAAGGTAGATTATCATTTACAGTGCAATCAGTGAGGGGATTCTGCAGACTGTTGAGGGTTCAGCCTCCTGATGAGTCGGTGAAACTCCGACGAAACAGTTTGTCACAGCCCCTCGTTTGTTGTCCTCTTCTCCCTCTCTGCCTACGGTTTACCGGGCAGTTCTATTT